TTTAATAAATTGAAATATAATAAGACACTGGGAAATTGGCAAGAAATTAATATGTCAACTGATTTCAATAAAGATTCTCGCAAAAGAAGGAAAAAACTTTTACAATATTATACAGATTTTAAGAAAAGGATTACAACTAAAATTGCATGATGACTATCTGATAATTAATCGTAAAAAAATTACATATAGTTATATTCAAGATCAATTAGTATACGCTGATGATTTTTTGAAGTATTCTCTACAGAAAAACCCAATAACATAATTAATTCAGAGTTAGAATGTGAAAAGGATCAACATATTAAAATTTCAAATAATCTTAACTTAAATATCACAAACTGGAACTGCCAAGGCTTAATCCACAAAATAAAAACTCAAGATTTCTCTCAATTACTATATAATACTGATATCTTGGGTATAACTGAAACCTGGCTAGTCACACCAGTTAATGAAATTATAAAAAATAGAATGGAATATACAATTATATCTTCTGACGCCCAGAAACCAATAGGACCTGGGAGACCGTATGGAGGTCTTTGTCTAATAGTAAGAAAAAACATTGGTTCCGTAAAATTTAAACAAAAAGCAACTAATTATATTCTAATCTTATTACAAATTGATAATACTGAAATGAAACATTTATACAAAAAGTTAATTATTATAATGTTAGTTTACGTTCGGCCTGACCAGATAGACTTACTATCTTGACAAGTGAGAAGGTTTTACTACCTGTTGTCTGAACAGGGAGGTGCAACTGACCCCAACCACCCTGGCGGTTTACAATAATAGTTAATACATTTAAATAACAGACAAAAATAAGCTATTTTTCAAGCATTTTCAAATGTACTTTCAAATTCAAACCACGAAGGTCAGTTAGCCAGATGATGCCCATTAAACATGGATGAAAATATTTGCTTTCTTGTAGTTTCTTCTTGCTAGATCATGATTATTTGTGCAGTGTAGTGTTTATTAGTTATCATTTAATGATCATAATATATGTTATTAAAATATATTATTAATCATTCTCTGTAAATGCTATTTATTATATTTTTGTCATTAACTTACATTCATATATTTTGTAATTACTGGATAAATAAGATATGACAAAAAAAACACTTTTAAATATTCAGCAAAGAAAATTTACTAAATAAAAACATTTTCGATCAGTTTAACCATCTCCTTCAGTTATGTTAAAATAGAATGTGAAAGTAGAACGTAAATTCAAAAATAAACGATAACCAGAATTCTAAAATAAATACATAAATAAATAACTGAAATTGTACTTGCGAATAATAAATATATAACTACAGAAATAAAATAAACAATAAAAAATAAAAATAGACGAATAAATGTCCCTTAATAAAATTAACTTTCGTAAAAATACAGCCATGCAGTAGCCAAGGTATATGCATCTCTATGGTTGATGCAACCAGTTTTTTGTGAACTTTAAAAATCTCCAAATCAGCAGGCATCAATCATCAAACCAACATCAAATACACATACTGTGNCCACAAATCTCCTGTAAAAAAAAAAACTAATTATAAAGTGCTTTAAAAGTAAATATTACATTACAAACTTGCAAGCCAAAGGAGTCTACAGAGAGGGGTAAACAGGGCACTTATCCTCTCCTGGGATGAAGTAAAAATTCCACAAATTATAATCATAAAATTGATTGAGATATGTAACCTTACACCCTTGTCCAATGAGACTATATTCTATAATCTACTTGTGAGAAAAAAAACCTCAAAAAATTACTTATATCAATTATTCATTTGTCTCCAAGTTTTGCTCCCCACTGGAAAATGTTCTGCTGATGCCCATGTTGCAAGCAATGATTAATTGCATATGATATTTCTTCTTTAAATATAAAAATTCTCCACGTTATTTTGTTATTTTTTGAATTTGCTTTTTTGCATAACCAATTTATTCAGTTGCTTACGAAGATGATAGTTGTTGTAATTTTTATGTTCAAATTAACTTGTCTGAAGACAAACACAGATTCAAAAACATTTGTAAGTTTGTTACATAACATTTGCTTTACTAAGACATTTTATAATTGGCTATATGATTTAAGTTAGAATTCTGTTTATAATTTCTGAAGAGGTACCTAAGAAATCCAGAAGTAACTAAAAATTTATTTTGATCCCATGTTTTAAGTATTTTAAATCTGATAAAGCAGTATTTTTTATATTTTTCAAGTATTTATGAGTATTCGACCTATGTTAATAATGCTAAGCTTAAGCAATTCCTAATAAAAGTAATAAATCAACAACTAAGATGTGATATGCAAATTTTTCCTTAATTCCATTAAGCATTTACATTTAAGTCTTTTTAAATATTTGACATTTTATTATAAAACCTGTCAACTAAATACTAATTTCAAAATATTAAATATGAAAAATATTGTTAAATGCTTATAAAATAAAAAAAATTATTCTTGTACAGTTAAATAACAAGTGAGACTTTACTTCATTCAAAATATTTTTTGGATCCTTCTATAAACCAGTTTTAGTAAATGTTTTATTTGCTTAGCTAATTTTTTATATTAAATTTATACACACACAAATTTGATAAAAATTAGCAAAGCAAATACATTCACTAACAGGATTCTCATTTTCAAAACTTATCTCAGGTTATTTTTCATATAGGAAAATATGATATATGTATATATTTCCCTATATAAAAATAACCTGAGATAAATTTAAATCAAAGTGCAACCCTGAAATTATTTACATTTATAATTAAGAGAGTTTTATCAGTTTTATTGTTTAAAACAATGTATATAATAAATAACTCAGAAGTAAGAGACTCCAAAACTTTTAAAAGCACAGTACAATCTTGATAATCTGTTTTCTAGTTCTACACAAAGTAATCCATCACTAGTCAGCTCTCAGGTATTACTGGCACTGTTTGCCAAGTTGCAGACAAATTTGTTAGGTCTGTTATCTTCTTTTTCTCTTATATTTTGTGTAAATACAGATGATTAAGATAAACATATAATATAGCTTCAAGTCAAACAACAACACACTATTACAAACTTGTGCTGACATCCTTTTATTGACACAGTATGTTACTGATATTCTAATTGGGATGCAAGAGCACCTAGACAATGCACTCAAAAGTGTCATAAACTGTATACAATTTGATAATCATTCTGTGAACAGATTTTTGAAAAATGTCTTGATAATAAAAAATATACAGCCACAAAAAAATTTGAGAAAATTGAGTATTAACTCAAAACTAACTTGACGTCAAAATTTTTATCCCTTAAATTTCAATCTAATGATGCTTTACTTTAATACATAAATAAAAAAAATCAGTTTTCCAAACTTTCCCACCAAAACTGCTGTACCTCTCACTAAATTTAGTGAAAATTCACCAAGCACCATGCTCAGAAGATAATTGAAAATTATTTTAAAAGGATTGACAATTAATTTGAGAATACTAAAATATCCCCCCAAAATGTGCCTGTAAACCTTACAGGTATAGAAACTGCTGTCAAGCAAACATAGATCAATCACTTTCAAATTATTACCATTTTATCTTAGATGTACACAAAACACAATAAAGTATGATACCTTAGAAACATAACCAAAATGATCACCTTAAGTAATCAGGCTATAATCACTAATTTAATTATTAATACTAAGTNTTAACTTACTAAAGAATAACTCATTTTAAATACACTCTAATAAATTCAAAAATATTGTAACAACAATAAATTTATTACCTAAAAGAATAAGCTTCTCCTTGTACTTCTTTTAACATACTCCTAATTAAAGCTTTTCCTTTTAACTGTTGAACTGGTTTAATTTGATCCGTTGAATGATCATCATCTGATTCATCGTCATCAAAAAAATTATGTGGAGATCTAGTTAAAATATTTAATGTTTTATAAATCCTTAAATTAATTATTTTATAATGAAACTTTACAACCTTAATTATATTCTAGATTTAGATTACATAAATGTATAATAGAATTTATTAAGTATATCTATTACTAATACTGATACTATAAGTTTTTCATCACATCTATGTATCACTGCATAACTAAAGCATGTTTCTCAACATAGAATTTAAACTGGTAGAGTCATCAATGTTAAAATTGTTTTATAAATATATATAAAATAATTAAAGAAAACAATATAATATACAGTCAACTTCTGTTAATATTTTTTGTTATGAGAATAGTAGTTAGTTCACTTTATCAAAAATTCATATTAACCATTTTCAAGGACAAGGTCGTATAATTTAGGTAGTTAAGGCTTAATAGAAGATCAAAATCTCTAAATTATAATACAGTAGCTCCTTGTTATATCATGCTTGACAGGAGACAAAGAAAAAGCACAATATATCAGGCAGTGTGATATAATAGAGTACGAAAAATTCTGGGCTTTTATTAAACAGATTATACATGCTATGGAATCTCTATCCTCTATTCTTTCATCAGTAAGTGTTTCTGATATAAAATAAGCTTAGTTTTTCAATACTAAATTTTATTCATGGTTATATCGTATTAATTGATGCTTACATAAACAACGATACCACGAACACCCATTTAGCATTAAATGTCATTGTTAAAGAAACAATAAAAACAAATACTGTCAATATAAAAACAAAATATCAGTTGCAATTTTATTATACAGTAATATATTTCATAATAAATTGCTTATTAAAAATTCGTGTAATTTATATTTTTCAATAAAAATTACACAGTAATTAAAAATTTTAATAAATAAATATTGAACATAAAATAGATGATCAAAACTTATAAAATTACAAAGAGTAAAAATTGTCTACAAAGCAAAATAAAGTTACTACTGTATAAAAATTTTAAACATTCCATTCAAAAATAAAGAAATGTTTCCTTACACATTACAGTGAATTCGAAATTTCACACCTTTATGTGAATTGATGGTATTGTCAATTCACATAAATGTGTGAAATTTCCAATTCACAGAAACTTGTAAATGAAGAGATAGTTCTTAAAAACAATAAACAACTTTTAATATCAAAAGGTAAGGTAAATGATAATTGATCTGTCCACCTGTTTTGCTTATCTAGATCTTGGCAAATTAACTGTTTCACTGGCAGTGATAGTTTCAAGGACAACGGTAGGAATAAAATACCACATTTTGTTGCAAAAAGAAATTGATTATTTAAAATTTATTGACTGAAGTGCTTTTAAAATTTGGGAAACAAAAAAAGTGCAATACTGTATATCCAAATCTGCGAAATAGCAAGGGGCTACTGTATTTTAAATTAATTTACTAAATAAAGTTAAATAAACAAAATGTATATACAAAAACAAATTAATGTTATAAATGATTTTCAAATCAAACAAAACAAAGTGGTGGTGATATTTGCAGTCAAAGTGTGAAGCAGTATATCAGAGTGGTCAAACAAAACAAAAGTAAAATAAATCCATACTTTTTTCTGTTGAAGATTGAAAAAGTAAAAAATATTTTTAAGTGCCAGAAGAGTAAAAAGAAGGCAAATTTAGCACAAAGTAATTGAACCTGGTATCACTTCACTATATGCACTTCCCAATATGCAAACATATGCTATTTTGTAATATAAAATTTAAAAGCACCCATTTTAAACTAACTTCTTAAACTAACTTCTACTTTCTGAGCAGACCATTCAACTGAAAATAGGACATTTATTTAGTTATATAACACAGATATACACAATATATTTATTTTTGGATGTACTGAGTCCCAAAAAATGAATAAATGTAAGCCTTAATAGGGCATAAACACTAGTGTAGAACCTATATTACTTTTCTATATCCTGGATACAATGGTTTAAATCTACATGATAAAGTCTAACTATATTATTAATAAAATAAAAACCAAAAAAAGGTTATTATTTTTCCAACTCACTTGACAGTTGTGAAAATAGATTAAACCATTTTTCAATCAGTGATAGGGGAAGATACACAGAATAAAGAAGCACCAATAAACAATTATTTTCAACTGTTTTATGAAACAGAAGTATAAAAGTGGAAGCATAACAAATTTTTTTAGACTAGATTAAAATGCCATTCTTTTAAAGTGAAATATAAAATTATCAGGGAAAAATTTACATTTTATTTCTAAAGTTTGCATTAAAAATTTTTTTAAATGCAAATTTTGAATCTTTGGATTTAAATGTATTCAAAGGTTTGTTCTGTTTACCTTACAAAATATCTGATGATGATGATTATTACAAACAGATGAAACATTTGTATAAGAAAATAATTTTTATTCCTTTTACTGGTTTTTGTGGTATTTTGTGTGTAGTTTAATTTGACTGTACATTTCATCGAGTATGATGGCTACAGTGACTATTCACCTCATTGTTATTTCACTCAAGCTGCACTAAAGCATTGTTGTTCTAAATATTGTGAATATTGTCTGCTAGGGCAGTGACACATGATATTGGATAATGACATGAATAGATGGACATCCCTGTCATTACCCAATATAATGTGCAAATCTAAATGACTGGCCATTCATGTGATTTTTTTAATACATCATTAACTGCAACATATATTATTCATTAAAAATTTTCTTACATGATATTCAGTTGCATATTTGAATTTCTAATTCCTTTAATTATTACATCAATTTGATCATTGGATGCATCTTCTCCAAAGTTTGAGAATATCAATATCCGCTGAGAGGCAAACTTTTGATTTTTCGTTTGTTCAGCCAGAATATCCATAGCAACTACTAATGCATCAATATCTAACCAACTGTTAAGGATTATTTTACAAACTTTTAACTCCTCTTACATATAAAAAAGTATATAACTACAGGGTGTCCCAAAAAAACGTACTCAATCTTTGACTGACCATTACTAATATATTAAGATTTATTTTAAAAATTTAATGGCATTTAGAAAATATTAGTCTTTTCTTCTAGCCTAGTTTACTAATTCCTGTGTATTTGCAAATGTTCAAACTGGTTTCCACCATTTTCCAAACACAGCTGATAACAAGGACCAATGGATTTGACAACATTGTGAAACATTTCATTTGTAATTGCAAGACACTGCTTTCCAATTTCTTCTTTTAACTAATCGACTGTTGCTGGTTTAGTGGCATTAAAAACATAAGAGTATTGGACTGATAAAGAGTGAGTACAATTTTTTTGGACATCCTGTATTATTATTAAATAAAATTATGTTTAATTGATGTTTTAATTCATTAGTCATTTCAAACTTAATAAAATTTATTTTTAAAGTAACACAGGTCTGCAAAAAACTTTTTTTCCAGCTGCATGGAATATTTTTGCTGAATTATATGTTTTAAAGATCACAGATTCTAAAAATAACTTCTGTTACATACATCACGTAAAGGTTTTTTGCAAAATAAAAACAAATTTTTAATAAAAGTCTTATTTATTACAATGAACTAAATATATTATATTTTCTTACAACTAATCAACAAATTGTTTCTGATATTTATATACAATTTTAGGTCTACTCTTTTTTCTTAAGAAACCTTTTCTTTTCATGCTTCTCCAAACTCTTTTCTGATTTCCTTCTCTGGTTTCTCGATTAAGCATCTAACAGTAGTCAGCTAACATATTGACATCCCAATTTCCTTGGTAATGTCTCTCGATATCACAGACATCCTGGTGAAATCTTTCACCCTGTTCTTCATTGTAGGCTCCCAAGTTTTCGGGAAAATAGTCAATATGGGAGTGTAAGAAATGAACTTTTAAGCTCNAGGAAGTGCAGGTGAATCTAGAAACACTGGACTGTAGCTTATCTATGTAACTGGGATCGATGGGTTCGCAGTCCGTGTCATCGATATACCATTGCATGAGAGACCTGTAGGTGGCTTCCTTTAATAGAACAAGAGATTTGTTTTTATCTGCTTTGAGGACTATGACATGCTCGTCCGCCAGCCATTTCCTGGTTTTTTGTATGAGGCGCCCCCAGTTGTCACCACAGGTCCTGTTGACGGAACAAATCGTGAAGGTGGCTTTCCACCTGTAGTACTCCTTGCGGGTGTTGCTCAAGCCGGTGATGAGCCTTTCGATGTCAGGCATTATATTCTCTGGATGCAATTTTGAGGGCCCCTGGGCAAACATGGGGCCATGCTGCATGATGTTAAGTAGAAAGTCTGGGGATGTAATGCTGTCCCAGCAAATCAATGGTGCCGCCATTGAAGCTTTTTTTTTTGTGCGGACTTTGTTTTGTTAAGATCCAATTCAAATTTTTACGATACCTCGTCTGCAGGTCGCAAGCCAGGGTTTCCTGGAAGCATGCACCCTTCCGTTCACATCTTCAAGCTCAGTCAGGTTCCGTCTGATTAATAACCATCGATGGTTATAATGTTAGCTTCTATACGCTGGAAGAGGAGATCAAACTGAAGGTTCGGATAGCATAACTGGCAACGCATCTGCACGGTAAGCAGGAGTTGTGGGTTCGAGTCCCGCTCCGGGCCGATTTTTTCTCCCAGCGGTTCTAAATTATTTAAATTAATTAATTTATTTATAATTATTAATATTAATAAGAGATGGCGCTTAACGCTTACCTCTAGTACCAAATTCATTATGTAATTAATATAGTAATTAGCCATAAAACTAGCCCGATGGATTTACGGCGTACGTTTGGAGATTAGCTATTACATCAGGTTTAGCGATGATTGTAGATGTATGTGTAATCTGTATTTCAAATAAAAATTACATAAAAATAAAAAAATTTATCTTAAGTCAAACTAATAAATTATCATAAATATAAATAATCACATGTAGCATGAATATAAAATGTTAGTAACTTAAAATACTAGTAAAAAGAAACAAAAAAATAGATAAATAAAGGATACAATCTGCCGTTATGGAAGTGCCTTCAATGTTTTGAATATATTGTAGCAGATCCCAGGAAGCCGTTTGTAAATTGTACTGAACACTTATATTGAGGTATTCATTTTTGTTTGCCCGTGCAAGCTGATTATCTGTTTCTGAAGTTCCACAAAGAACTAATGCAATATTATCTTTTGATTCAGAAAAAATCTATAAATAAATAAAAAATTAATTTAAAATAATATATTTTACTAGCAAAAACAAGAATTCAATTTAATTTTATTTTATTTAATAAACAGAATATAGATTTAATATTGAAACTATATTTATGTATTATCATCACATATTTTAAAAATCTTATTTATAACTAATCAAAAGTCAGGAATTTTAAATTTTATGAGCATTTAATCTTCTGAGATCCTGAAATAAATTACCAAACAACAATGTATATGTCAATTGACATTACGACATTTTCACAATATGATATGGCTTCATGCATGGAGTAATATCACATAATGGACATCACCATACGAAGTCAGTATATTTTTCTGTACATACAAGAATTCAAACAATCATATACTCATTACAATTGTTAATATTTTACTAGTAATTTAATTTCATAAATTCCAGTGAAAAAATTATTAATTTAAAAAATAAAAACTTTTATACAGTTTACATACCTTTCTTTGTAAAATCATCCCAATGCAAGCTTTAGCATTTTGAAATGGAGAATCAGAACCTTTGCACATAGAAGGCCCTATGTCTAAAACAATAACAATTGCTTCCTGAAAAAAAAGAAAAAATTATTTTAAAATTCAATAAATACAATTATAAATTTGTACTTTTGATTGCCTCTTGTTCTTGTTTTCATGCTGTTAAAAGCAAGCATAAGATTGCTTCTTACAACATTTGTAAATTATTTTTGTAAGGAGTGCTAACATCTCTCTAATGCACTTGAAAAACTTTGTAGGAGCAATAATTGTAACATGAGTGAAAAATTAAATTTGCTACAATGCATCACACTAAAGTTATTTATTTTTGTTGTTAACTGCCATAAACTCTGGTCCATTACAATGTTCTCCTGGTAAAAGAAGTTGTCCAATGACTTGAAATAATCAACATAAAAGTATTAGAACTATTGATTAAATACAGGATCTTTCAAAAAGTATGCTCCATTTTAAATTATTGTAATTATATTAATTATTATTCAAGAATGTTATAACGTACATTAAAACATTGGAAAACTGTCCAAGTTTCATTTGCCCATTACAATTTCTCAATTTCTCAATGTGTGCACTTGAGTGGTTGAGGGCCAAGCAACATGATTATTCCTACACTCACTATGTATGGCATATCTGTCCTCACTTCTCCCATTGGAGTCAAAATTCTATTTCTATCTCCTGCAGATTATCCAATCTGCAGGAGATAGAATCTTCTATAACAATAAACATTACACAATGACAAGTAATTCCAACTTTTCAAATTGCAGAACAAAAAATGCCTTGTCTGTTAGTGATCATTTTTGTTTATCGCACTTCCTAGAAATAGTAGAAATGAGACATTTGAATGCAGATGGGAAAAAAAAAACTTGAACAGTTACCCTAGTGATTGGCATAAGATGCATACTTCTTGGATAATAATTAACATAATTATGGTAATTTAAAATGGTAGCATTCCTTTTGGAAGACCCTATATTTAATAACAAATGCTCTGAAACAATGGTGAAAAGCACAAGAAAAATAAGCTCAATCTGGAGAGACCAAGTGGGTCTAACTTTCTTGATAACTTCACTAAACAAATTAATGTGAATACTTCAGAAATTACCACATCCAATTTATTGGAAAAAGTACCAGATTCAATCAATATTTCGTTGAGCCTATGTATATTAAGTCCCTGTTTTTGACAGGGACTTAATCATAGGCTCAACGAAACGAGCAGTTAGGATCAGGTGGAAGGAACACATCCGTGACATTCGACTTAATAAATGTTCCACATCCTTATCCACTTACGCGTCTGATCCAGAGATCGTAGCAGACTTCTCAAATGCCAAGTTAATCACCACCACCCCATATGCAGAACATATCAAGTGGTTAGAGCAGATAGAGATATACAGGGCATACAAAGATTCATCACCCATTAATTCCAGGGATAAAATCTCTCTATCTATGGCTTGGCAAGCCCTAATGCAACAAGAAGATTAAGGAAGTCGTAAACTTAAGCAAGGAGGATGAAAGGGTAGACAGTATGCATATAATGTGTTTATTTGCCTAACATCAAAGATCTTACAACAGTAAATACATAAAAAAATAAAAAAAATATTTTCAATTGCATCCGCTATGACGTGGAAACTTTTACATTCGGGAATATGGAACACGTGATGCCATTCTATCGTTCGATGTTTTGAAAAATTCTTTCCAAACGAATGGTTGATTTGACGATTTTACCTGAAGAAGGACCCAGGAGGGGTCCGAAAACATTAGGATTGTTAAATTTATTCACATCGGTTAAAGGTTTCGGAGGTACGTAATATTTAAATTTTAACTTTTTACTTTTCAGAGATTTCAGATAGCTCTATTAATGTACTAAATATCTTCTTTCAAGTGTACAATTTTGTTTTATCAAAGTGGATATTTAAGTGAAAGTCTGCTTCCACTTAAATATTTTATGTCAGTGAACAAGCAAATAAATCACTGAAATAGTAATGTCAATGTAAATTCATTCACAATTTATAGATAATTCAATAACTAAATTATCCTGAGTTTTACATAAGAAGATTCATAACAGCATCAGTAATTAAATAATACCTAACAAATTTTTAGCTTCTAATGAAAACTTGAAAATTGTTTATATAATAAAAAGTAAGAATTTTATTAAATATTTCAAATCTAACATTATTGGTTATTTTTCATACTTTTTTTTATAAAATTATTTTTAATTATAAAGAATCAAATGTATTCATTTAATATTAAATGTTTTCAAAATACAGTAGATCTGCTTTATGACCTAATTTGTACCTGTTATGAAGTGAGTTTTTGTATTTCTCATAAGTTGAATGTCATAAATTGAGGCTACATTCTTGGAAATGCAGGTTTAATTATATAATATTAGAGACAGCCAACAAAAAATTTGGCACTTGAAACACAAAATTCCTTGTAATTTAATTATATGCGAGTTTCATTTAGTTTGTTTGTTTTATCGAGGAAAGAGATTTTGCTACTTTTAAATGTAGAAATTATAAACATGCATTCTCTCATAACTTCAATAAAGTTATTTCAAGCTTTATTTGAGTAAAAACAAATTTATTCAGACAGCTGTCTGTCTTATATTGATTTAATTATAATTAATAAATTTATCAAAAGATGATGCCTAACACCTATCTCTAAGCCAAATTATTTAACACTTAACTATTAATAGTAGCATTAATACAGCCCGATATAATCCAGCATCATTTGGCATAATCATAAAACTGACGCACTGAGGTTTTGCTATTTATCCAAAAATGCACTTGTTTATATTAGTTTCATTCAAGTTTTCATTTATTTGCATCATCACAAACATAATGTAGTTAAACTGATTTAAAATGAAACCTGTTTAAAGAAACAATTTTGCAACAGCTATTTTCTACTTTAAATTTTACAATAATCTAGAAACCTGTCTAAGAGGCTTTTGGGTACTAAAAATATAACTTAAATAAAATGAAAAATTAAGATTTTAATTGTAGTTAAAGAAAACTGCATCAAGTTATAACAGTCACTACAGAGCATGATAAACTATATTCCAAAAAATGATCTTGAACATTTCAGAGAAAGTTGAATCACAAGGAGATATATGGATTGCATTACATTAGACTGATGAAATAAGGCAATGCAACACATGGATAATATGCCAAGGGGAATGCTTCTGAAGAGGACAAAGAGATGAAAATTTCCAGACTTATAAGTAAAACCTCAATTTTTAGAAGCCAAATTTTTGGAAACACTTGAGAAATGGATCCTAATATTTGGGCAAGGAACTGTTTGTGTTTAAGGCTCACCAATTTTCGTTTAAATCAGGGACCCAAACATCTGGCCCTCTTATTGTTAGCAATAGGAATCATTTTTGAATAATTCTGTAATGAATAATTCCGAATAATGTATTTGATCACAATGTTTAAACAGTATTTCACATATTCTAATGTGTCAAAATTTTTGTTTTAGTCTAGTGAAAAAGATCAAAGTGAAAAAACACCAACCCAAAAATTCCCCAAATTTTCTGTCAATCTATAAAAAAAAAACCAATATGGAAACTTTGGACATCATTGCACAAAAACTGCCTTCAGTTCTCAATGTCACTTACTACTTTTCTGCTTAAACTTGCTGTGTGACGTCATAAAATGCTAAGTGTGTGGGAGCTAGATATTCTGCTGTTTTTCCTGACCTGTGCTTTGTAATTCAATTTCATGCTGAATATGGAAATAAGACTAAAATTTTTATCGCCACTTGTTATTGCCAGTATTATATTTTTATTGCCATTTTAATAAAAATATTGTCAAGTGCCAATTTTGGCCCTATACAGCATGACCCGATAGCTTATAAATAATAGAAATAGGCCTACATTTAATATATATCAAATATACAAAATATTTGTGGCCTACCTACCTATGACTTACGTGCAATTTGGACCAACCGTGAGACTATATGCAGCAAGGCATGCGCACTGAATCCATTGTTGTTTCAGTAGAGCAAAACATGGAAAGTGAAGACACTTTCCATGATTTCAATACCGTAGAAGACAATGACATATAATGTACTTGCAATAAATTTGTTTTGAATTGTCTGTTTTTCAAAAACAATAAATCTAAAAGCAAATGTATAGGAATTAAATTGCATCTTAAATTTGTTGGTGTCTTATATTCAAGTAAAAACAGTGATTAATTATATTTGGTACAATATATACAATGCTTTTTGATAATGTACTTTTTTTTTATGACTTGCTTGCTTTAAAATTTTGACTAAAATAAGCATTTCAAGATAAAAATATAAACAAAAAACAACTTTATAAATGCTTATAAATTGAATATTACAAAAATTTAAAACATTAATTAAAACATGTATAACTCAAATTATAATTCAGCTTTTTCATATGTGGATGCATTTGTTCATAAAAATGTGCACTGAAAAATGCTTTATGCATCACTCTACAGCAGGGGTTCTTAACTGATTTTGGTCCATGAACCCCTTTTCCAGTGGGTACACAATAGCTGGGCAATTCACAATGGGTGATAGCCAAGGGTACAACAGTTAATTGAACCACCAAACTTAAAAATTTTTGCACACTTAGCAAGCAGATTTTGCAGATTTTTTGTTTTGTAAATACAAGTATACCTCGAGTTACGTCATTCTTGATTATACGTCATTTGTCAAAAAAATATATGGAAAAATAAAAATCAAGTTTAAGTCATTTTATTCAACTTTATGTCTGTCCACCACAAATATTAAAGTCGTAATATCACTAGAAAAGCATTAAAGCACATAAGATCATATTAAAATATGTACATTTACAGTAAATGTTAATATGATCATCATAAATCCTAGAGAACAAAATATGAAAACATCTGTGACTGTGTTGTCGTCTTATTTAGTGGTCTTTAAGTGCTCAATATTGAGGTTTTCCACAGTGGTTCCAATATCTACCATTTGGCGTCATTGTCAGCGCCACTCGATATTGGTAAATTTAATATAAATTAGTTTATTTTCTACTGTCACAAGATAATTTTAATAACTGTATTTGTTNAACATTCCATTCAAAAATAAAGAAATGTTTCCTTACACATTACAGTGAATTCGAAATTTCACACCTTTATGTGAATTGATGGTATTGTCAATTCACATAAATGTGTGAAATTTCCAATTCACAGAAACTTGTAAATGAAGAGATAGTTCTTAAAAACAATAAACAACTTTTAATATCAAAAGGTAAGGTAAATGATAATTGATCTGTCCACCTGTTTTGCTTATCTAGATCTTGGCAAATTAACTGTTTCACTGGCAGTGATAGTTTCAAGGACAACGGTAGGAATAAAATACCACATTTTGTTGCAAAAAGAAATTGATTATTTAAAATTTATTGACTGAAGTGCTTTTAAAATTTGGGAAACAAAAAAAGTGCAATACTGTATATCCAAATCTGCGAAATAGCAAGGGGCTACTGTATTTTAAATTAATTTACTAAATAAAGTTAAATAAACAAAATGTATATACAAAAACAAATTAATGTTATAAATGATTTTCAAATCAAACAAAACAAAGTGGTGGTGATATTTGCAGTCAAAGTGTGAAGCAGTATATCAGAGTGGTCAAACAAAACAAAAGTAAAATAAATCCATACTTTTTTCTGTTGAAGATTGAAAAAGTAAAAAATATTTTTAAGTGCCAGAAGAGTAAAAAGAAGCCAAATTTAGCACAAAGTAATTGAACCTGGTATCACTTCACTATATGCACTTCCCAATATGCAAACATATGCTAGTTTGTAATATAAAATTTAAAAGCACCCATTTTAAACTAACTTCTTAAACTAACTTCTACTTTCTGAGCAGACCATTCAACTGAAAATAGGACATTTATTTAGTTATATAACACAGATATACACAATATATTTATTTTTGGATGTACTGAGTCCCAAAAAATGAATAAATGTAAGCCTTAATAGGGCGTAAACACTAGTGTAGAACCTATATTACTTTTCTATATCCTGGATACAATGGTTTAAATCTACATGATAAAGTCTAACTGTATTATTAATAAAATAAAAACCAAAAAAAGGTTATTATTTTTCCAACTCACTTGACAGTTGCGAAAATAGATTAAACCATTTTTCAATCAGTGGTAGGGGAAGATACACAGAATAAAGAAGCACCAATAAACAATTATTTTCAACTGTTTTATGAAACAGAAGTATAAAAGTGGAAGCATAACAAATTTTTTTAGACTAGATTAAAATGCCATTCTTTTAAAGTGAAATATAAAATTATCAGGGAAAAATTTACATTTTATTTCTAAAGTTTGCATTAAAAATTTTTTTAAATGCAAATTTTGAATCTTTGGATTTAAATGTATTCAAAGGTTTGTTCTGTTTACCTTACAAAATATCTGATGATGATGATTATTACAAACAGATGAAACATTTGTATAAGAAAATAATTTTTATTCCTTTTACTGGTTTTTGTGGTATTTTGTGTGTAGTTTAATTTGACTGTACATTTCATCGAGTATGATGGCTACAGTGACTATTCACCTCATTGTTATTTCACTCAAGCTGCACTAAAGCATTGTTGTTCTAAATATTGTGAATATTGTCTGCTAGGGCAGTGACACATGATATTGGATAATGACATGAATAGATGGACATCCCTGTCATTACCCAATATAATGTGCAAATCTAAATGACTGGCCATTCATGTGATTTTTTTAATACATCATTAACTGCAACATATATTATTCATTAAAAATTTTCTTACATGATATTCAGTTGCATATTTGAATTTCTAATTCCTTTAATTATTACATCAATTTGATCATTGGATGCATCTTCTCCAAAGTTTGAGAATATCAATATCCGCTGAGAGGCAAACTTTTGATTTTTCGTTTGTTCAGCCAGAATATCCATAGCAACTACTAATGCATCAATATCTAACCAACTGTTAAGGATTATTTTACAAACTTTTAACTCCTCTTACATATAAAAAAGTATATAACTACAGAGTGTCCCAAAAAAACGTACTCAATCTTTGACTGACCATTACTAATATATTAAGATTTATTTAAAAAATTTAATGGCATTTAGAAAATATTAGTCTTTTCTTCTAGCCTAGTTTACTAATTCCTGTGTATTTGCAAATGTTCAAACTGGTTTCCACCATTTTCCAAACACACTGATAACAAGGACCAATGGATTTGACAACATTGTGAAACATTTCATTTGTAATTGCAAGACACTGCTTTCCAATTTCTTCTTTTAACTGATCGACTGTTGCTGGTTTAGTGGCATTAAAAACATAAGAGTATTGGACTGATAAAGAGTGAGTACAATTTTTTTGGACATCCTGTATTATTATTAAATAAAATTATGTTTAATTGATGTTTTAATTCATTAGTCATTTCAAACTTAATAAAATTTATTTTTAAAGTAACACAGGTCTGCAAAAAACTTTTTTTCCAGCTGCATGGAATATTTTTGCTGAATTATATGTTTTAAAGATCACAGATTCTAAAAATAACTTCTGTTACATACATCACGTAAAGGTTTTTTGCAAAATAAAAACAAATTTTTAATAAAAGTCTTATTTATTACAATGAACTAAATATATTATATTTTCTTACAACTAATCAACAAATTGTTTCTGATATTTATATACAATTTTAGGTCTACTCTTTTTTCTTAAAAACCTTTTCTTTTCATGCTTCTCCAAACTCTTTTCTGATTTCCTTCTCTGGTTTCTCGATTAAGCATCTAACAGTAGTCAGCTAACATATTGACATCCCAATTTCCTTGGTAACGTCTCTCGATATCACAGACTCACAGACATCCTGGTGAAATCTTTCACCCTGTTCTTCATTGTAGGCTCCCAAGTTTTCGGGAAAATAGTCAATATGGGAGTGTAAGAAATGAACTTTTAAGCTCATCTTGCGTCCTTGAGCTTCATATGCTGCTGCCAGCATGCATTGTACAATGGTTTTGTAGTATTCTCCAAAAACTTATGCACTACATTCTTGAAAGAGTCCCATACTTCTTTTTCCTTTTCTCCCATTGTTTTCAAAAATCTGCTTTGTCTTGATCTCCAAGTTTCAATTTGAAATATGCAAATTAAACTTTCTTCATAAACTGACTTATGTTTCTTTATTGACTTTTCACTGTGCATTCACCACAAACATAACAGAAGCTGTCAGGAGAAATTACACAACCTCTGCAAGCCATATTCCAGAAATAAAAATACAAGAACAGTAGCGTTTGAATGCTGGATGTAAACTGAGTGTGGCATTAGATGACCAGCGAGACAATGAACTTATTTAGCTTGTTGAAACATGATCTAATCCAGCAGCAGATTGTTTATATTTATTCCTAGTATTTCAGATAACATGTCAAAACATGCTCAACCTCACCAATAATATTACTCACTATCATCAACTTTTAACTTGTTTCTATATGATCACGCAACCATCCTCCTAATGCTAAAACTACTTAACCCACCTCCCCTTACCACTACTCTCTTCAATCATTAACATTTTTATTTATTTATTACCAAGTCCAGCTATAATTGATAGAATTAATGTGAGAAGTCTTCGTTTTAAAGCCCCTTTTTAAATAAATAAAAAAAATACTAAATTTTAAGTTATCTACGAATTTTATGCAAAATACAAACAAAACCTTGACTGTAACAAAAAAAAATTGACGAGATGGAATTTTTTTTGTTTTTACCAAGTTGAAATCTGTAAGAAAATGTATAAAAATCCTATGCAGTTTTTTACTTGCAGACCTGTGTAATGGGTAGACCATAAAAAATTCAGAAATTTACAACATGATGTCGAATGCGCAAATTCGTTTATTTATAACTTAAAATATTCTCGAAATTTCATCAAAAAAGTGCATTTGTGACGATACCTAAATGAAATTCTTACGCAAGAAACAAAAATTGTACAATTATTATTATTATCGTGTCAGCGAAGCGGCAATAAAATATTTACTATCATTTTGCACAACATACTTCTGCGAGAGCAGATTTTCGGCCGTGACAAACATGAATCGTCACCGACTTTGACTCGAAGATGACTCAAAACTGAAGCTGACCAAAAACCAACCAGATTTTACAAAGTTGCGCAAAGAAAATCGTGCACATTTGTCGCATTAAAATTAAATAACCATATGTTATTTTCATTATTATTAGAATTGTATTTATATTTTAAAGGTAATAAATGTAAGAAAAACTTATTTATCACTAGCTGTCTACCCACGGCTTCGCCCGCGTTATATCGAGTTTTCTCGTGGGAGTAAGATATTTTCTCGTAGTAAAATGTAACCTATGTCCATCTCCAACGTGTAAGCTATCTCCGTGCCATATTTTATTAAAACCTGTTCGGCGGTTTAGACGTGAAAAGGTAACAGACAGACAGGCAGAATTACCTTCGAATTTATAATATTAGTATGGATTAATATGAATTT